GGGCTCGAACCGGCAACCTTCCGATTACAAGGCGAACTCCCAACTCTTGAGCCACAATCGCCCCTATTAGACCACATTAAACTTTGCAAAGGCTCACAGTTTGGAATTTCATTGACAGGCTTCCTGACAGTGTCGATGCAGCTGTCTGCTTGGCTTCAGCTCTGCTTTTTGCAGTTGGTGAATTGGATTTCTCAATGTGTTTGCCCTATCAGTTGTTTCACAAAGTAGAATTAGATAAGTTATAACAGAACAGTATGGAAATCTATCAATCTGAATGGTTACTTTCAGGTAGAAGATACACGGTTCCACATTTTACATTTAAAAGATATAGATTCACTTAATGCTGCAGTGTGCAGGTCACACGATCAGTGATTTGTTGTGCTTTTATGTACTGCAGGTAAAATAAGTATTGAACATGCTTACCGAATGTATTTAATACTCCATACAAAAGCCTTTGTTGGTGATGCCAGCTTCAAGATGCCTACTGTATGGAGAAACCAGTCACATGCATTTCTAAATGTGATTCTGTCTTCAAATCCTGTAGGTTCCTGGATTTCTGATTCTCATCATTTTCACTCTGTCTGAAATCTGGTGTGGGGAGCACCTAGTTGTGGATGTTTTTTCCACTTCTAGATTATGGCCACAACACTGCTCACCGGAACCTTCAGTAGTTTAGAAATACTTCTGGAACCGATGCCATCTGTATGTTTTGCAAGAATAATGTGGTGAAGGTCTTGAGGGAGCTCGCTGGTTTTACCCATCATGAGATGGTGCTTGTGTGACACCGTTTTGTAATGGATCAGCTGGGACTGAACTAGCTGATATTAATTTCCACTAAGTGGCAGCGTTGCTTTCTAATTACTGATAGATTTCAGCAGCTGTCATGACTTTCTGCACTTCCCTTTCTTCCCATGCTCAGTCCTTTTTCCCTGTTCCCATTACTACACATAATTTATGGACATCTACGGTTTGTTTTCTCTGCATGTGTGGATTGGATGGGTTGTTACCAACATCTGGTGAGAATTTCATGCCAGTAGCACCTTTAGAAATATATTTACTTAGAAAACGTATTTTACCCGTTGAATGTGCTGGTTATAAAGGTTGTACTGGTAGTGACTAGAACAAATGTTCTCTTTGGGAACAACAAACATTATTGTAGCTATCTCTGTCTTAACTATAAGACCAGATTCAGGCAGCTGCAGACTCTCTAGCAGAGACCAAAAAAATACAAAGACAGAAAGTAAAAGCACTGTTGCGCTCACTT